GAACGGGCTTCGGGCAAAGCCAGTATGAGATGCAAACCGTGCAATGGAGCCCTGAGATCATTTGTGTCGGCCGCCGCCTGACGAACGAGCGACGTTATCCGCGCCTTGGCCTTAGTCTTCGCGCGGGACTTGTACCTCCTTGGAGGCGGGCGTAGGGATACCGCTGTGTCCTTGGCTGACATACCCGCCTCTTGTTTGGCCAATATCACATATGCTTGCTCTGCTGGAGTCCGAGGGTGGATTACGGTGGAAGTATCGCTTTGCAGCGTCGATTCACCCGTCCGAACGACTGGTAGCTTGCACCACTGGCCATTCACATAGGTTCGGAGTTTGTCTGAGTGGAAATACCAGGCCACCTTGTGTTCCGTCGGCCAATCCAAAGCCAAGACTAAGTCGTAGGGAACGGGTCCCACTAAAACGTCCCCGGAAAAACGCGTATGTCCGCACCACAGCGTCAATCCCGTCACTACCCGATCAATGCGTAATTGTGCACCTGTAGCAATGGTGAACCTATGTTCTTTTGGTAGTCTCCGCACTTTCAACTGTAGTTGGTCGACTATTTTAGGCCTAATGAAACTTCTCGAAGCCCCAGTGTCCAAGAGGGCCTCACAAGGACTCCCTGCGAGCTCAACGCGAAGTACCGCCGTCGCGCCCGCACAACACAACGCTCCCCCTTGATCGTAAGACTCTTTCGTACAAGTCTCCCTCCACCAGTGTGGCACGATCTCTGTCGCGTCTGACCTATAGCCGTCTTCTGTTGCCTCTGCAGACTTCCTGCTGCTATTCATCGTCGCGTCCGGAGTCTCTTCACTCAGGGTCGACTCTGACCCAGACTCCCGTCGCGTTTCCGGAAGCGGCGGAGTCCCTTCCGCGCGCTCGTCGCTCTTATCGGCTCCTCCCGCAGTGCGGAGGAGTTGGTTTCCCTTCTCGTGGGAGACTGGAATGGCATTAGGGCCTGTCGCTACCGCACACATCATCCCCTTGCCATGGCTACGCGGCCTAGAACGCTCGTCTCCACCCACGCCTAGGCCCGCACGTTTGATCGTTCCGTCTTCTCAGTGCTAGGACGGGTGAGTGCTCTACTGCCCTTGTCCACCTGCTCAGGGCGGCTTCGTTCATACGTAGGACAGTCCCGAGCACAGTGTCCGACACCGCCGCACTTCTTGCAGATTTCCCCCGGACGTTTGGTACGTTCCCCTTTGCTAGGGCAGACACGTGCCGGATGTCCGCGACCCTGACACTCAAAACAGTTAGCGGGGGTTCCCCCAGAACGATTTTCAATTTCCTGGTGCCCACTACGTCCATTAGCTTGGATAGCAGCCCTAATGGCTCGACTGGTCCTTTCTCGGAGTTCCAGCACACTCTGCTTGGGCTCGTAGAGCCGTGTTGCGGCGGTCGCCGCTTGTTCCCACGACTGATATTTCACTTGTCCGTTATTGGTTATTAGAAGATGGAGGTCTGTTGGTAGCCCGGTGCAGTAATAATCCGCGAGCTCGTCGGGGGCAAGTCCCAATCCCCGCTCCGCCACAACCGCAAACTGGTCCGTGTATTCCTAAGGGTTACCATTCCACCGTACTTTAGCCAACTTCGTTAACAATTGACTCTGCGACATTGTTCTGTCAAACCGCTCCAAAAGTCTGCGCTGTACTGTCGCCCAGTCGCTTAGGTCGATAGTTCGCCGTAGATACATCCAATACGTTAGAGCCGGGCCCACAAGGTGGTCTATAACTGCATTTCCCCACATGTGCAGTTCCAATCCCATCCGGGTGTACCGGCGCTCGATGCGCAGCAGAAAGGCCTGCATAGTGCTGCCGTCTTCAGGTAGTATAGGAGTCGTTGCGCCGGATTCTCCGGTCCCCCCTATTACAGTTCTTATCACACTCATTGCGGACTGGAATTGGTCCCAGGTGATGAAGGGAATGTCCGCTGGCATGGCGTTGGTCATAGACATCACCTGCGGGGGCGCCCCCTTATGCCCATGCGGCCGCTCTGCCACGGTGGGCTTCGGAGTAGCATGGCGATGATGGGCCGGCGCCCCGCTGGGCATTTCGCTAACTGACATTGTAGAAGTCTCCTGCGGTGTGGGGCCGATGACGCGTTCGTTGCGGAGATGCATCCCTTACCGAGCGAAGCTATCTAGGCGTGAATCTACTCCCAAGCCCGGAAAGAACAAAGATTTCAATCCCAGAACAGCCCCCAAATGTAGTGCACAGTGCCTACTGCTGCGACTACGCTGCTACCTGCCCCCTCGAGCAGGGGCCTATGATCAGCACCTAACGATGGCCCATTTCCTTGTTTCCTTGAAACAGTAGCCCAATTATAACAAAATACAGTTATTCTTAGTTTTTCCAAAATCTGTTATCTTAAAATCCCCCCACTCGGAGTTCTCGCCTCGTAGGCCCTGTGGGGAGGAGGCCTGCACTGGTGCCCGCGCTATCACCAGCCCCAGTCTCCACGCATTTTCAGGCACCTCTAGTGTATGCATGTTAATTCGCAGACAAATTGCCTTACTTTGATCCTAGTAGGAGGGTCCTATCCTCTTCCAGTGTTGCGACCCCTTGTAGGTCGCTAGCTAGCTATCTTCTATAGGTCACCAGCAAGCCCTATTGTAGTGCCTGTGCACTACAGACGAGAAGTAGCGTGGCTGTTATTTTGGAGGTTTAGTTACTGGATTATTGCTATTCATGGGTTCTCTAACTGTGGTGATACGTCTCAGTGTACCCTTTGGGGTTACGCCGCCAAGAGAGTCGAAATTGCCTCTGCAAGCTGCGGCAAATGTACTAGATTTCCCTTTTCCCCACAACTATGTTCGATCTTGCTATCATTAGCGGATTCCCGCTCTGTCAGACTTCGTTCCTCGTATATGGGCATTTTGTTATTCTTTGAAGCGTACAAAGCACAATAACTTTTGCTGGACAGGCTCCGAATGCTGAATTCTGATAAGTTTTTCCCTAAAGTACACTCACTTTTCGCTTCAAATCCTTAGACGTCTACACTTGTGGGTCAGAGCAGCTACTTCTTGGCCACGTGCCAAAAACGTCGCAGTGTTTCTTCGCACGATATCTATTACGAAGCAAGATAACTCTTCGTATAGGCGCTTGGAGCACGGTTAGTGTTTGCAACGCCTGAGCGCTATGGATAAATTAGCATCCCACAAAGCGGTATCCAGCCACGTGGAATTATGGGTAACTTGAGGCATGACAGCGATTCTTCGCCATGGTATGGAGTGCCCACCTACATCTGAGCAAGGAACTAAAACTCGACGAAAAATTGGGATTTTGAAAAGAAGTAAGTGAGGCGAACAGTTCTTTCATAGGGCAAGTGTAAATAAACTGCATAACGCACTGCAAACTTGCATTGCCTTTTCACCGCAACAAACACGGATATGAGCTGCTGCAAAAAGTGTTGTACTGCCTGAAACGTAGTCCCCTGAAATAAAGGAACTAGCAGGACAGCAGATGGGGTGAGGCGGCTGTTTTACAGAGGTGGAGCAGAAGCGGAAGAACTCCATCCTTGTGACCTCTTTCACTGCCATATGAAAGCCCCATGCATTTACTCTTTCTGCATCAAAAAAAAGTATTCAGATGGCCACGAATCGTTGTTACCTTTCACTCGTTGCAGCTGTGGTTCGTACGACACTGGCATGGCGGTCTACTATCCCTTGCTTCACCATCCCTGTTCAATTGAAACGTAAATAAATTCTGTATATGGTGAGCGGATTGTTGATATTCTTCTTCTGATGCACTGGCACATTAAAAGAGGGAAACAGTAGATACAGCATGGACACAGTAGCAAGAACTGCGGAAGCCTGGGACTACTAGATTTGCAGTCAGTAAAAGTAAAGAAACAAGCAAGTTACTGGCACGACAAATATGCGAAAAATTGCTGAAAATCAAAGTGCGATCCACAGAGCTCCAGAATACGTACATTTAGGCAGTTAGGAATTTGCTGCATATTGGGGAGGAGGAGGAGGTGTGCATGCTTCCTGTCTTCTGTTCTCTAGGCTCATATCGTAAACACAGAAGAAGACAGCGAACCCTGCCATAAAGACTGATTCCCGTCTCGGATAATCAACTTAAACACATCTTGCCAATATCTACCAACATAAATTTTGCCCATGCGCTACGGGGCAGGGGTTCGTATATCACCATGTTCTTGGTTGCAAATTCTAATCGTGTTACACCACTGTAACTACTGTAGGCCCCCGCAAGGCATACCTCTAAAGCAAAATTCTAGAAATGAGTGGAGCAATGCGTCCTTCTACTCAGTGCTTCAACGATGGAGGTTGGAACTCCACTGGTACTCGGCAATGCCAGCAGCAGCATGTTCGCAGCAAAACCAAAGAAGGCAAGAAAATAAAGCAATTACTTGAAAATAATGCAAGATTTTATGAAAGTTGAAAACGCAATCGCGTGTAGTGACTTAGCTGCGAGAGACAAGTGCCATCGAGACAGAGTGGCGCTGACCTCATCACAGCAATCACATTCGCCGAAGGACCTACCTGTGAAACTACACATAAGAAGGAACAGAGATACTGAACTGTACGTAGTTTTTCAGGCGAAACACCAGCAAAGGGATTTATCTCTCACGAATGCACGTGTTACATTCAACCAAATCATGAGGGAACTTTGCGGACGCCTGTGGGTGATCCGCTATGGTGAGCATTACATCTCCCAGTGAAAGATCGGAATCCCTAGTAGTTGTCTGCGCGAGATAGACTTTCAGTTGTAGATCTAGTGAGAAAGGCGCCACTGTTGCCTCTCACAAGCACAGCTGGACTCATGTCGTTCAGCTGCTTCACTTCTGTTGCGTTGGCAGCAGCAAGACTGATTCCCTTATCTGGCCACAGTTGAACTCATGAAATTGTGGTTTTGCTGCCGGGCGGCTGAAAATTGTGGGCTCGATGGTCTTTCAGTGCATGCCCTTGTCCCAGTATTCGATTGGTCACCCATATCCAGATATCTAACGAGCTTCTCGGCAGCGGCCCCAAACTCATATGAATGCTCCGATACACAAACGTCACACTGTCCGCAATGCAGGGGCAGAGTGAGAAGGCCCTAGTCAAGCCGATTGCCAAGTCGTTCCGGCGCAACAGGAATGCTGGGCTAGACTCCTCGTGCACCAGCATAACGCTTACGAATCCACAGGGGAGGCTACCAGTCCATAACGCTACTTATGAGGATGTACCACCATATAAAGTTGCGAGGCATGGAGCCAAACAATTGCCGAAAGCTCGAGCTGTGTTCCTGCTTGCTGTTGCAGCCACTGCAGTGGCATACATGATTTCACTTTGTGCGTCTAAGCTCAGCAAAAGAAGATGGAATGAAGGAGGAAACAGGATTCTTGCTGCTGCGATAGAGCATGACTTCGCAGTGGACTGCACATCCATTAGAAACGCTGCCTTTATGCGGCCATGGCGTGACGGACAAGAAGAGACGGAGTTACTTGAGCGGGCTTCTGCCATCGTAGCTTCCTTTGAGAGTCTCGTGAAGCCCAATGAATCTGCCCTTCTGAGCCTTCCCGTGAGAGCGCGTCACAGGGCCGTTTCTCTTCTTGTGAGCTTGGTTGTCGTGGAGATTTCCGCATTGTCGGTAGTGGTAGAGAGCCATTTGAAGCCCGCTTCAAAGCGCGTCACCCAAGACCTTCTCCAGCTGGCATCACGCGTATCGTTCACCATCCCAAGAAAATGCATGAAATGGGCGCCGCGTCATTATTACTACCTCGTGCTGGCCCTGAGTAAACTTGGGTTAGCACAACCTTACCTTTGCCCGCTGCCTCGACCCGAACGCTTGCGAAAGCTACGTGAGTTGCTTCAGCTGCAGGAAGCTGTGATGAGGAAAGTGCGTCCCGTATTTGAAATAATCGATAGTCCAGTTGGCTTTGCCAGTGCAGAAGCTGCACAGAAGTTGGACTCAGCTTTGAGCTCCCTTTCCAATCTCGTCTGCATCCGCAAAAACCAGGTCCTGAGGGATCCGGTCCTACGTTACTGGCTACTCAAGCACGAAGGTCCCTCGAGGCATTCACCAATCGTTCCAAGGTCGTACTGCCATTTCATTCTGCAGCAGCCTCAGCAAGGCTTTGAGGAACTTCTAGAAGAGCTGGCCCATCCTGTACCACTATGCGTCAACACAACGCGGACAGAGATACGCAGAGACTGTGAAAGTACTGGTCGCACTGCAGAGAGAGAGACGGGTAGGCAACCTTCTCGACGGCCAGCCAGAAGCGCTTCTAGAGAGACGGATGGCTCACACGCTTATCATCGCCCAAGTGGCACAGTTCTTCGTCGAAGCCGAGAAGTGACTCAACAGAGCCAAGAAAGGACTCAACAAAGCCTTCCTCATCACCAAGGCTCGAGCTTGCCGAGTAGTGCAGTTGAGCGTTCCCTTTACCGTAAACTGATCGGCTACGCTGAAGAAGCCCTCAATGCAGGTCATATCTATCCAAGCGGTAGCAGTCCAGCAGAATTACTGCAAAAAACTGTGCCGCTGCCTCCCCAATTTCCCGCAATTCCAAAAAAAGCGGACCCTTTGGTCTCCTTTCCATCTGGCTGGCCACTTTCCCAGATAATTCAGACGCAACCGAAGGATTTACGGATTGCCCGCAACAGTGATTCATCCTGCAACAAGGTGCCGTTTCAGCATGCGCTGTGGCCGCCTCCGGCTCCTTTGCAGACTCCTTTTCTGCAAAGGAGCCAACAAGCACAATCAAGTGCACCCTCCACTACTTCAAAAGCGCCAGGTGCCCACAGAATTTCCCGAAAATTTCGCGGCATTGCTGAAGGAGAACCAGGTGAAAGGTAGGTACGAAGTGGGCACCCAGATGGCATCGCTAAGTGTGGCATGCTCCGTGGAGTCTGCGCAATCTGGAAGCAGCTCATTTTGTCGGCCTTATCAGGTTATCGTCTTGCAAGGGCTGCTTCTGACCTCTGCGCCGGCTGGTCGACTGTGGCCTCTCATTTGAAAGGGTGCAGCAAGCCAGAAGCCTGCTCCTTAAATATCTGGTTGCTCAGAACACTAAAATGCGCTCCAGGAAGTGGAGCTAGCAGACTTTGGACAATAAGTGAAGACCGCCTAAGGCTGACAAACGGGCAGGAGCACTTAACTCTGCGAACAGCACAGCTCAAGCCTGAACACCTTGACAAATTTAGGCACTGCAGTGTTTCCCTATGTCATCTTCTTAAGCTGGAATGAAGGAAGAGCCAAGTGGCCTAAGCAAACATTCGAATTACCCGATTTCATTGATATCCAAGAGGCGAGGGGAACCGTGCTGGTGTTGTGAAGCTTACCACCGTTTGAGGAGAACGGGCTGTATCGTTGCCCTGTAGTCATTGCTTTTCATTGCCAGGCAACGTTGGAGCTGGGTACTTTCGTGTTGGTCCGTTGTTGTACAGCTTTCTCACGTAGGTGGGTAGCAATGGAACAGTGGAACGGCTCCTTCTTCAACCTACCTTGCAATATATTCACAGTATCTCCCTTTGCAAGACGTATCCGCTCAATGCGAGTGCAAACAGTAATCACCACAGCCGTGGGCGCACTTGAATGGCGAAGATCTTGCATTCGCGCAAGTCCACAGGCGTACTTAAGGGAATATGGAAATGCGGCTTATTTGTTTCATGTGTATCTACGCATGCTTTCTCACGCGCGAGAAGCAGAGCCGTGCACAGCTGGAAGCGAGGCATGGCGAGTGCGTGCGCCCCAAAGCACAAATGAGTGACTGTTAAGTCGAATTGTCACAAGCGTTAGCTCCGCGCTTTATGAGGGCTTCTTCTTTCTCAGGTCTCCGTTTGTTTTGTTTTATTTCTGTGACCAACGGATGCTGCGAAGGTCAGGCAAGTGTGCCACACAACTTTTGGAATACTTGCATAGCAGCAAGTTGAGGCGTAGTCGGGAAAGCAAAATGCATTAGCTAGCTAGGAGAGGAGTTTTACATAGTGCTGTTCGAAGGCCTTTTAGACTAAGATGTAACGTACCATGCCATGTAGATTTGGCCAAGTGTAAACAGTCGGCAACAAATGTAAGAACCCATATTACAAAATATGAGTTTTTATAATTGTTGCTGGCTGTTTACACTTGGCTACGTTAAGGTAGCCATTAGTCTACCGCTGACACAAGACCACATGGATCAACACGCAAGACACTGCAGGTGTACACGACACCAGCCAGCTAACAGCAGGTAAGCATGTAAGCATGAGACAGCATCAAGGAACGTGTCCATAAGAATACAGACGCATGAGGTGACACAGTAGAATGCTTCAACTGGCGTAATGTGGCTTTCCACGATGCACTAGAAAACATAAGCTTCACAGAATCACACGAAAGCAAAAATGAGACATTTCGGAGGGCTTTCGGAAAGGGGAAGACGGATAACACAAAGACCGATTTTCCGGAAGTATACTGTTGCTTGTCCATTTCCGTTTGCATTTCTACACGCGCGGAGAAACTCAGCAGGAAATGTGACGTTCGCTTTTGGCCAGCTCGCGTTCTCGCTCAATTCCATCCACAAGCAGAGGAGAGACATTTGCACAGACGGACCAGACTCTCCTTCAACGAATGCTCTCATATTACCTATTGTTGCTGTGTATGCAAATCGGGCTAGTTTGGGCCTTCATAGGAGCTAACAAAATTCGTACGCATAAAAAAGTGCTCGGAACTCCCATAAGCAGCTAACCGCAAGTAACTTCACAGAAAATTCAGCTTCTAGAAAGCCAGGTATTCAAACGACAACGTAGTGTGAATAAGTGACAGATGGAAATCTCGGATGCTCAAATCGCTGGGGCAAAGTCAGAGGTGTTTGTTAGGAACAAAACGAAACTTCAGATGGACAACCGAACTAGCAGGAGAAAGTGGAGCGGATTTGCAGCTTAATCAAAGCAGCTAGACAGTGATTAACAACGAATTGTGTGAGTTAGCAGACGCAAATTCGCCATCGTCATTCAGTCTTAGCGTGAAAAAAGCTTTCGGGAACCTTGCTTCCAGGGATTTGGAGTTCACAAAGTACGCTCTACCACCAATACATCCTGTATCTATTGTGTCACCATGCTATTTAAATGTATGGCTGAATACTCGAAAGAAACCGCTTGCAGGAATATTTAGAGATTTTGTGGTACACATACCTTTACTGAATCTGGTGGGTCATGGGCATTTGCTTTTGCTTTCACTTTCAGGTAGCCTCTGACTGCGTCCAACTAGATGTCTTGGACTCTTTCGAGGCTGCAAAAATGCTCGTGGCCCGTGTTAGACTGGCGTGCTCGCCGAAACGCACCCCGTATGACACGTATTCTGTTCCTAATGTTTGTTGTATTGCTCGAAAAAACTCTCCATGAATTTTCCTATTGCATCGGCGCAGTAGTGACTCGGGGCAATTGTGGGTCTTCTCTAGCAACTAGAAAAGAAGTGCTGGGCAGGTGATTGTTAGTAGTTAAACCTCGTAATATTTTGAGGGCAGCCAATATATACCCGTTGCATGAATGGAACTGAAGCGATTTCTTGGGTTGCATCACGGATAGTATGACGCTAGACGAGTAGTAACTGTTCAGCGCATTTTGCAAAACCGGCAAAAAAGCAAGTACAGAAATACGCACGCTGTTATGTCGTGTATACATTGCAGAAATAAATGCACTAGTAGCACCTCCATGTTTGTGTAATTCGTCGTCAGGTGTGCTTGCTTGACAGTAGAAACAGAAGCTTCGGAAAATTTTGCATTGGGCTTGGCGCCAGGAGAACCGGTGGAAACGCATTTTCAGAATGAACATCTCAAGATTCGCACCAGAACACCAGCTCTTCCTTGAAAATCACATGCGTATGTCGGCCATTGCTACTGAGTGCTGCTCGTGGTGCTACTGTTGCCATGCGGAGGATCCAAACGTACACACTTCCCTCAAAACAAAAATGGCCTACCTACAGGTTGAATCTGAGGCGTGACGACCCTTTTGAACAAGCAGAACAGTGAAAGGAACCACAGAAAAAGCGGCTGAAAGTTTCTTCCTTAGCTCAAAAGAGAATTACACAGTGCTTACAAACGACGCCAAACGTACAGAGGTCTCGAAGCTGTTCCGGTACTGTTTTCCTGATGCTACTGCCTATTCCGCAGCACTTGTTTTTGTTACCATTAACGCCATAAACGGCAGCACTACTGGCAGTAGCGGCAACGTCAGCAGCACCAACGTTGTTGCTGCTCTTAATGAAATTTTCTGTAGGAAGTTGCCACAGCTTGCTGCTGCGTCCTGTGATTGCTTGAGAAACATGCTGGTTTCAAGAAACCAGCTTCATACTCTCTAAACTTTACTCTGGCACCTAGTTGTTTGGGTTTAAGATGAGGGACAGTGCAGGCCCGTGCTAAACCCGCTGATGCCTGTGGCAAAAGCTCCATTGAAAATATCCAGGACCCAGAAGCGAAACGCAGATTTTAACATTCTCGCCTGCACTAGCCGCCTAAGCAGCAGCGGCGAATGCAAGTTCGAGATAAAGCATCTCACTTCTTCCGGGACCACAGGCTTCTCGTCGCCGTCTGCCGTTGCACTAGTGTTCAACTCTGGACTGCTTGCGGCGACGTTGCATGTGCTGGTGCTTCTGCAACACCAGACACTTTGTAGTACTATTAGGGCTTCCACTGAGCGCCAGCACGCTCTTCAACATCACTTTTCCCTCTCTTTTCGCCGTCTGTACCCTTGGAAAGCCACGAGGCCCTCCGCCGGCAGATGTTTCTAAAATTGTCCAAGGCCGCTGCTTGGGTTCGTAAAAGTTTGCGAGGCAGCCATTCATCTCATCGAAAACGATATTACTAAGCCCTTCTATTTTAGTAGCTGTAGCCTTCTGAGGCTGCTGAAGGACGATATATTGCACGCACACAGCAGTATGCGCTGGCTTGTCAGTGCGAACGGCGATATTGGCGGCCGCTTGAGGAGGCGTTGTGATGAAAATTGGGGTAAGACTACTCACTTCCTACTAAACGGTGTCGGGAGAAGAAAATTAGCATTAAGTATCTAGCTGTTTGTTTCTTGTGCGTAAATTTGATGGGTTTGCAGCACACAATGGTCGTCGCGAGGTCTTTGCGACGTTCTGGAGAATCCTGAAGACGCCATGAGTCTTGGCCATTACTATATTGTGTTTACGGGTAACTGCTTTGTTGCTTATTTTGCATCTGGCCCTTTTTGTTCTCCCATGCTGCGTTCGGCGGCTTCGCTGTGGAAAATGAGGCTACGCATCGCCCATAGAGTGTTATTTCTTAACTCGCGATGTCCAGTGTTACGGACCCTACGAAATTTTAGACACAGCTGGATTTTGTATAGGCAGAACTCAGGAGAATTGCAGCGAGGCTTTTTCCGAAAAGTGGGACTGCCACACCCACTGCCCAGGTTGTGTCACCAGGTTATTCATGGACTACACGATGCATTGTAACATGCTTCCTCGGGGCTCCATCATTCCCCCGAATACAAACTCCGTACAACTCTTGCCGCTGATACAGGATGGGCCTTTTGGGGCTGTGCTCCTGCGTGGATCGAGATAGCGGGATCTCGACCGCTGCTGTATCAATTGGGAACGCCCCCCCATGTTCCGTTGATGTTTGGCTGTATGAGGCACTGTCCCATGAAACACGGCCTTTTTGATAATCTTTCTGTCTAACATTGGCTCAAAAACGGAAATTTGCCTTGGACCCGTAACGGGGTCTTTCAGGGGTATGGTCTTTAGCTCCCCCCTCGTCTCCATTATGCCTGTACCACGAGCACTACTACGTCGTGGCCCTGTATCACTGTAGCACCATGCTTGCATCCCGTTAGGCTCCGAAGTGAATTTAATCAGAT